ACCATGCAGCCTTCCATGGAGAAGAGCAGAAGTGTCGTTCCTCAGCTCAGCTCTCCAGCCTGCCAGATCAGCAGCAAAGAGGAGACTCCAGGCTGCAGTGGCCTCTGGAGACCCTGGTAGAGCCACATGGACACTTTACCATTAGGAAACCAACTTACAAATGCCACATTGGCATTAACTACAGTTTCCTAAATGTGTTAGAATATTCTTGTCCAACTTTTCATGGACAAAATATGACAAGGTGCTTTCATATTGGAAAAGCACAAGTAGATTTTTTTATTACTCTGCCACTTTTTGACTATGCAAGAAGAACTGATGCATCCTTCAAAGATGTTTTAAGCTTTGAATTTATAAAGACAGGCTCATATTGGGTTTAAACTTTTACTGTATTTGCAGTATATTTAAATTCTGCTTTCATTCACTGAAAGCTTTTGCTCATTTTTATATAAAGCAAAATAATTATCTAGAATCTAAACATTTGAGTGTGAAATGTCTGTGACATTCTATGAAATATCCAGCTCCTATGGAGTGAATCATTTGTAGTTCTGTGTTGTTTATACACTGATGCAAAATTGCTTTTTTTGATTGTGCAGAAAATGCATTGTTATTTGTAATTTTATAATTCTCCAGACTGGAAATGGTGTGATTTTGCCTTCAGCGAAGGTGATCAATGTTATGTTGTCAGGACACTGAATGACTATTGCCAAAAATGCTCTGAAAATAAATCAAAATCTCAGTGAATTACTGAATGAATGCCAGATATAATTTTTCTAATTGATTAGAACAAATAAAGCAGTTGAGAGTTAAATGAGACACGATAGCCATCTGTGGCCAGGAGTCAAGAGAGCAAAATTGGCCATGCTCTCAATGTGGGAACCATGGCATACTTTCTCTCCCTTGTCAAGTCACAGTGAGACTAACCAATCATGGGTTTCTGTGAGCTCATGTATGCAGAATAGAGTAGGTAACACTTTACGCTGCACCATGACGTAGCATGAGCAACAACTGGAAAAGATCTGGAGGTTGGCTTCAGGTGTCTCAGAGGAAGCACATGCTTACCCCAACCCTTCCCGGATGGTAGTTGTCATGTGATGGGGAGAGTTAGTAAGTGGAGAGTGGGTAAGAATTGGCAAGACCAAATTGGGGATGAAAATGGAGGAGGAGGGGGGGGGGGGGGGGTTAATAATAAAAGAACTCATTTATGATTTGGCCTCACTGCACAATATTGTTATTTAATTAAGATATTAAATCCTCATGATATTCTGAACTTACTGTTTGCTCCGTCTTTAGCAGCATAAGAGGCTAATTCAATGCATTCCAGTACTAAATCTTTCAAGCAATTCTTAAAGGAATTTAAAAGCCCTAGTAATGATTGAACACAGCTGTCAGGTTAACGGCATATGGCTAATTAGCAGCCTAGCTTGTTTTTATGACTAACATGACCAGA